CAAGCTATCTCAGGCTCTCTGCCATAAAGAAAAGAAAAGAACAGAAAAGAAAAACTCTCCCTCCAAGTCAACCTTCAACTAGCCTAGATCTCTTCCTTTTACCTCCCCTCTCCATGCCTGACATTTGCTGCAGGTATAGTAGGGTACGGTCAATTGGGCCCACAGGTTCTCCTTAGCCCTCTTATAGCCAGTATGGGGCCTGTCTGCCCCATCACAGAATTGCTTTAGTGTAGGTCAGAAAATTGGGAATTTTTTCTGTGGAAAATTTCTACTTTGGTGACAAATCAAAAGCCAAACATTTTTCAGCTAAAAACTTTAATCTGAAAACTAAAATTTTGGATCTGAATATGCTGCTGCCATGCCACATGGGAGCTATAGTTCAGGTATCTCATACCCTACGAGAGAGGTCCACAAAGTGTGGGGCATGCACCCCCAGGGAAGCATGGAGGAACATCCAGGGGTGTATGGTGAGCTCAAGCCAGCCCCCACAGGCCCGGGAGAGAGTGCCACCCAGTCCCTCCCTGCCCCCAGCTCTGCTCCAGTCCCCGGCTTCCAGCCCCATGCCTAACCCCATTGTTAGCCTCAGCATGGCTCCGCGTCTGGCCCCACACCATCCCCCAGCCTTGACCGCTAGCCATGGCTTTGTTCCCGGCCCGGGCCGAAGGCTGGGGGCAAGGCCAGGAGTAGACTCACACCTGGCTGCCAGCCCAGTGGCTGGCCCCCACTGCAGCCTGGCTTCAGCTCCACTCCCATCCCCCTCCTAGCCTCAGCCCCTGCCCACAGCCCCACTCCCTGTGGTGATTTCCCATATTAACATTAATAATTTAAAATATTATTAATAATTCCAACAGGGTTGGAACAGTTTTTTGAAGAAAAATGGACATTTTCTGCCCAAAGCAGGCACTTTTCATGAAAAAAAATGTTTGGGTGAAAACCCAAATTTCCATTGAAAAATGGTGTTAATTAAATATTTTCAACCAGCCTTAAATTATTTACATATATTGGCTCATACACCTGATAGGTGTATCTGCCAGGATGGGAAACAAAGTAGCAGAGGCGATTCAGCAGCTGATCAGGTCTGTAGAACAGTGCTTTCACACTGTAGGTAGAGCTTTGAAGCAACAGAACACGATGTTTGGCCCCACAAAATCAGAGGTACAGCTTGAAGTCCAGGGGACTAGATGAGGGGTTAAATCAGGTTCCTGATCAAAAGTTAGGTGGGTGAGCACATAAATAGTGAACTGAATCGCAGGGAGAAGTCACTTCAGCATGAGGGTTCAGTGTCACAACCTTTTCATCAGCAAACAGAGTTAATGCCAGCACTTGGGGGGAGATAATGAGGCAGGCTGGAGACTGCAGACCAATCAGATTCCCCAGGAAAAGAGCAGACAACTCTATAAAGCAGCTTCTTAGGAAACAGAAATGGGAGTAATTATAGTTGTAATCTTGACACTTCCGTGCTGATGGAATAACCCAGATTGTTGGTTTTTGTTTTGTTCATTTTGTTTTTTCTGGCAGTGGAAAACTTGATTGTTGTTGGATTTTTTTCGTTTTGTTTTTCTGTTATTTTAGAGATGACATTGATCCTCAGGAAATAAAAACATTGATGGACTATTTTGTTTTACACATTACAAACACTGAATCTTTGTTACCTGCTGCAACGCTGGGCCAGAGAAGGTTAAACAATCAGCAAGCTGGGTGACCTGTAAGCAACGGTTAAGGACATATCTAAAGGGTATTGCAATGGTGAACAGCACCATTCCTTGTAGATAGTTATCAAAGCCATGTTAAGTAAATTAGAATATTTAACCTGTTTGCCTGTATTGTTAGAGAATCAAAGAGTAAGTGCTAAATCTGTTTATGTTTACCTGCATCCTATTAGAAATCTAACAATGTGATCTAATTAGCTGGTAGATGCTAAATCCTGTTCCTGTCTTATAATGTTTCATTACTGTATTCTATTGACTCTGAGATCAAAAGTGGATATCATCATTTAGATGGGACTTGTGGTATAATAATATTATTGTCTTAATCTCTCCTGGAAGTTTGTAATTCCAAAGAGCAAACAATCTGTGAAGTGCATTGATAATTTGAATGGCTATTGCTGAAGGTATTGTCTGAGAAAGGACCCATTGACTAGAGATCACAAACTGTGGGCTCACTTTCATCAAAGCCCACTGTGGTGGAGTTGCCTGTCAGCACCCACCCTGCTTCAACTATAAAAGAAAGCTTCGGGCCTGATCCTTTTATCCCAGGTCTGCTTAAACTTTAACAGGGAAGGTTTAAGCCATAGGACTGAGGTCTCCAGGTGGATACCTGGATTACCCTAGAACTCTGATAGAGACATTCTAACAGATTCTACACCTGAACTGCCTATTGGACTATAATGCATTGAATTGATTCCAGAGAGACTTTTACACACCAGCAGCTACAACATCACTGCTAAAACAACAAGGAATCCTTGTGGCACCTTAGAGACTAACACATTTATTCGGGTATACATGGGCTATAACCCACTTCATCAGATGCATGGAGTGGAAAATACTGTAGGCACGAAAGCTTATGCTCGAATAAATTTGTTAGTCTCTAAGGTGCCACAAGGATTCCTCGTTGTTTTTGCTGATACACACTAACACGGCTACCCCTCTGAAACATCACTGCTCCGATCCTGATCTATGAACATTGAAAGTCATTTGTATGTATATTGTTCTTTTAACCATTTTAACTCTCTTCTTTCTTTTTCCTTTTCTTAATAAATCTTAGATTTAGTTATTAAGGATTGGCTGTAAGCATATATTTGGGTATGATCTGAAATATTCATTGGCCTGGGGAATAATGCGTCTGATATTTTGGGATTGGGAGAACTTGATTTATGGTGAATAGGTTTTTAATAACCTCTCACTGTGTTAGAGTTGGTTGTCTAGACGGGATTCAAGGCTGGAATGCATAAAGGGAACTGTTTAGCTTCTTGTTAAGCAGTGTGGCAACATAGGAGCACAGTCTTGATACTAGTTGGTGAAGCTAATTGTAATCTGCCAGTTTTGGGGAGCATCTGCCCTGAGTGTGGCAGTCTCCGTGTGTCCCATCCAGGCACCAGGGGCACCTCTGCTCTTAACAAGTTGTGGCAAATTCATTCCCTTTGGGTGATCAGAACATCTGAAATATGAAAAGTTAATATTGCTCCCAAATGGAGGGATAAAAAGGAAGTCTGTTCAACAGGACTCATTGAGTTATTGTAGCTTTGGAAATTTGGTTCCACAGGATTATTTGTAAATCCGGTTATGAATATATGAAATATACAGTAAAGCAGCCATCTGAAGCTATTCTTTCAAATACTGCAGGCTAGATCCTCAGCTGGTGTAAACTGGCACTGCTCCGCTGAATGATCCAGGTGCTATTCTGGTGCTTCCATTTTTTTTAAATTATTTTATATCTTCCTTCACTTCTCCTCTAAACCAGGTGTTCTTTTGACCAGTACAATCATCTTCCTTGATTGTGGGATTGTGACTTTTGGGGCATCTAGTGAGGTGTTTTTAAATGATTTCCAATTATTGTTCCCATTTTTTCTTATTAAATTGTTTATCCTTGTGCCTGAGTTTCAAAAACAAACAAAAAGTCAAAAAAACAAATAAAAACAACCAAATGTCATTTAGGAATAGATTTTTCAAGATTAATATTTCAGATGTGCAGATTATTATCTATAGTTAATTTAAACTGACTGAATACGATACATGTTTTGCTGAAAATCCAATTGACAAAACTAATATCAGAAATATTTGTAATATTTATTTATATTCATTTGAATATGTTTCTGTTATATGAAATGTAACCAGCTGAAATAAAACCAAACAGAAAAGACAAAAACATGCAACCAAAGGGTTAAATCCTCATGAGAGATCCTCACTGGGAGCTGATTTCATGGAGAGTTGAAGACATTCAGTGGTTGCATAGATAGAAACCCAGTCATCTGTGGAGTCTGAATCCTGGACCTTCACCGCAAAATACTGACATCTGCCATTTGAGATAAATGGGAACACCACTAATTATAAGTAGTACATTGCTATAGTTACTAATGGGAAATACAATCAATACCCCATACATCAAGCCAGTGTACATCAGCTCACTGTATATCAGCACTTGTCAGGATTTGGTCCAGGTGTTTGGTACATTTTGTGCTTAAAATACCCACTATCTCTTAAGATGATTGTGTAATGCATAGTATTTCTCTTTATGTCTTAGAATATTAAAAGAGCAGATGTCAAGTACACTTTTATAGGTTTTTTTTCCTGAACATCTGAGAATTTTAGCACTCATGAAAATGAAGAATAGCACTGATTTGGGCTAGACATAATATAGACAGATGATGTGCAATCATCTCCAGAGATTTTTTGCCAATGCATCTCTGTCTTGGCCTGTGACAGACCTACTAATATTCCAGTCCACACTCTCTTGAATAGACTGCAGATATTGAAAAAGGGAAGAAATACCTATCTGCATAGGGTATCCACACATCAGCCAGCAAATAGCAATCTAGGTAAGGATACTGCAGATCTTGGGTAAGTGACTAATTTCTACCACAAAGGTGAAATATTTATTTTCCTCTGCTGCTAAGCCCATAGAGAGCTATATGGTTCAGAAATTACCTGTCAAGCTACCTGTCCTAGATGCACATTCAGTGCTAGCAGATGGGTGCTAGGAGACAGAACAGGTCTGAATGCACTCTGCACAAATATATGCAGAATTCAAAAATGGCTCAAATTTACCCATTATGTCTGTTTCGATAGGGTGCAAATTCACTGCACACCTGTCTGTGCACCAGGTGACTTGATAGAGAATCTAGTCCTATGTGATTGTTTTGTATTATATATAAATGGGAACTACAATGAAGCAACCATTCTCCTTATACTGGAACATTACCATAGTGCCTGAGCACTTTTGACCCAAGATGTTATTTGAATCTTCAGCAGATGTCCAGAGTTGCAAGGGCAATGTATAAAGACACTGTGACATTTAACTCCCCAGGACCGACACATTTTTATAAAGTGTTTAATTAAAGCTGACAGCAGACTTTAGTGACTTTCTGATGCCTCTCAAGGTTTCTCAAATATTTCCCCCAAATATTTCCAGAACTATTCATGCTTCAATTTCAATATCACACATTCAAATCTAATTATAGGATTCTCCTTTCCAATAATATCGCAATTTGTCATCACTCTTGTAGAAATCTTCTAGTTGGCAATCCAAAATTAGAGACCAGAAAGCAGTTTTTGTAGACAAAAAAGAAGTATATAAAATAGCTCTACATATCTTTTTTATAGTAGCAATAGTTATATGAATTCATTTGTCTTTTATAGCGCAATGTAACTGTTAAAAGTCAGGCTTGCACAACACTGGAATTCTTGTAATGCAGTGTATGCTACGATATTTAAGAAAAATATATTTATACCGTGAAGGACAATTTTTCAACTCACTCCACTCTTCAGATAACAAAGGATAGGGATAAAATATTCCCAAAAAATCTGAATGTAATTAATGTATCAAAGGAACAAAAAAAGAAGTTTACATTTATAAACAAGTTAGGTTTTCTTCTGGTTCCCTGTGTACCAAATTAATGCTTCCTGTGATCCCAGATTCTTCCTGAGCTGAGATGTTTTTTGACTTCTTTTTGGCACAATATGGAATGTGGCCACAAAAATACATGTAAATCCATGGATTGGCACAACTATTCAAATTACCCAGGAGCATGATGATGGTAAATGCTGCACCTAGAATGAAAGAATTGGAGAGAAACCAGTGTAAATAATGACAGGTTTCAGAGTAACAGCCGTGTTAGTCTGTATTCGCAAAAAAAAAAGGAGTACTTGTGGCACCTTAGAGACAAACCAATTTATTTGAGCATAAGCTTTCGTGAGCTACAGCTCACTTCTTTGGATGCATACTGTGGAAAATACAGAGGATGTTTTTATACACACAGACCATGAAACACTCTAGAAAGTAGTAATGTTCTTAGGAATTGATGCTCTTTGATGTACTTGTTGTTAAATCAATTGACTTAACTGTTGTAGGATCCGTTTAGCATTTTGCAATAGAGAAAAAGTTAAAATAACATTAGGAGAGTTCAGTTTATTCAATGGTTATAAAAAATTGTAATTCTGTGGCTATGTACAGTATATAATACATTGTAGCTGCATATGCATACGATGTATTTCAGAGATCAATATTTTTGTATAACTCTTCTTACCCCATATAAATCTAAATGTTAATGTAGTTGCTTATTATCCTAATCTATGTAAATACTGTACCATCTCAGAAATGCATACCTGTAGAAAGAATTTTTAAACCAAAGATCAGAATGTGAGATCTTTTCAGAAGACAAGATTATAGTCTAATTTTATAAATTTATAGCATATTGTCTGATTTCTATCCGTATTTGATCTTTCAACAGCTAAACATTAGAAATGAAGTTGATAGGGAGTCTGTTTTAACAAAAGTGTAGCAATATAATTTTGAAAATGTTAAAATTGTGTACAGCATTTTATTCTTTTGTATTTTAGTTTGTTTTCATTACAAATATCAACCCTTACACAATTTGTAATTGTTCCATAGTTCACTGAAGATACTTCACTGCTAATAACATTTTAATATTCAAAAACACTTCAGAGGTTTTATAGTGTTGCTGTTATAAATAGTAAACCAGAAATATTTATTTTATTAATTTGAATAATTATTTTATTAATTAAAGTTAAAATGCTATATTGCTTTTAATTTCCCTAATATACAAAAAAGTAACTCCATAATCTCTAAAATCGCTAAATGTATATATTGATCTCTTGCTAGTACAGATAAAAGTTATAACATTTTGACTGTTTTGTTTACTAATAATTAAATGCTAATTAATCTTGGTTAGCCTTCCCTGCAGAAAAAAAGCCTTATTGAAAGCGTATGTTTGTACATGTGTACACACACACACACATTAAGTAACCCCCAAGATTATTTTTGATTATGCAGTGTCATACGTTACCAGCTATTGTACATCATTAGGGCCCTAACAAATTCATGGCCATGAAAAAAGCCTCACGGACTGTGAAATCTGGTCTCCCCTCATAAAATCTGGTCTTTTGTGTGCTTTTACCCTATACTATACAGATTTGATGGGGAGAGACCAGCGTTTCTCAAACTGGGTGTCCTGACCCAAAAGGTGTGTGTGGGGGGGTGTCGCAAGCTTATTTTAAGGGGGTCGCAGTATTGCCACCTGTACTTCTGCACTGCCTTCGGAGCTGGGCGGCCGGAAAGCAGCAGTTGCTCTGAAGGCAGCTGCGCAAAAATCAGGGTGGCAACACCGTAGCATGCCGTCCTTACTTCTGTGCTGCTGCTGGCGGTGGCTCTACCTTCAGAGCTGGGCTCGTGGCCAGCAGCCGCCGCTCTCCAGCCACCCAGTTCTGAAGGCAGCACCGCCAGCAACAGCAGCACAGATGTAAGGGTAGCAGAACTGCAATGCCCCTTCAATAACCTTGCAACCCCCTCCCCCCCGCCGCACCCCACAACTCCCTTTTCAGTCAGGACCTAAGTTCCCTGTAAGCTACGTGACCGCACAGCAGCCTATTTAGCGACGTGCAGGCGCTCAGGGAACCCGTGCAGCCGACGTGCCGCAGCCAGGGGATAAGCATGCCATAGGCACCAACTTCCCCTCTAGTCTGGGGGGTGCTCAACCCTACCCTCCACCCCAGATCCTGCCCCCACCTCACCCCTTCGCCCCTTCCTGCTCCTGCTCTGCCCCCGTCCCACCTCTTCCCCACCTCCTCCCCCTTCCTCCCGGAGCTTCCTACGTGCTGCGAAACAGCTGTTCACAGCAGGCGGGCGGGAGGCACTGGGAGGGAGGGGGAGGAGTTGATCAGTGGGACCGCGAGCAGGTGAGAGGCGCTCGGGGGTGGGGAAAGCTTGGCTGCTGGTGGGTGCTGTTCACACCCACTAATTTTTCTCTGTGGGTGCTCCAGCCATGGAGCCCCAGCCCAGACCTGCTGCGGCTGGGGGAGGGACACCTATGCTATGGCTCCAGCCCCAGAGCTGCTGAGGCGTAGAGAGGCACCTCTCCCCCCTAGCCCAAATGCTTCTGCAAGAAGAGAGCTGGTGGGAGTCCTCTCTCTCCCTGCCATTGCCCCAGAGCCCCTCCTGCAGCCCAAGCCCCTCATCCCTGGCCCCACCCCAGAGCCCGCATGCCCAGCCAGAGTACTCACCCCCCAACACATCCTAACCCTCTGTCCCAGTCCTGAGCCCCCTCCCACACTCCGAAACCCTCGGCCCCACCCACACCACATGAATTTTGTTTTGTGCACCAATATGGAGGTGATGTGTCACACATCACCTCCATATTGGTGCACATAAAAAAATTCATTCCACACATGTGTGGGAAAAATTAGAGGGAACACTGGTAAGGACCCCTACAATTACAACACCAGGAAATTTCAGATTTTAATATCTGAAATAATGAAATTTACTATTTTTAAAATCCTATGACTGTGAAATTGACCAAAATGGACCCTGAATTTGGTAGGGCCCTATACATCATTAATACAGTATGCAAACAAACTCGTCCTTCAAATTTAATCATACATAAAATGATTACACATAGTTTAACCTAAATAATATGTATATATAAAGAGGAAATGTAGCAATGTGGTAGTCTACTATAGTTATTGATAAGAAAAAGAAGTATCTTACCTTCAGTAACACCACTGGGGTACCATACAGACCACAACTGTACAATGAAGAAAGGTGCCCAACACAGGATATATGCAATAACTGTCACCACTGTCATTTTTACAGTCTTGATCATAGCCTTTGAAATACAGTTAATACTGCTTGCTTGGCATGGCAGGATTTGCTTCTGATTTATTGCTTCAAATTCATTCCTTTTTTTCACCTGTATGTTCATTTGTATTATTTTGCAGATCTTAACCTGGCAAATAGTAAGGATAGCTGTGGGAATGAAGAAAATAGCTACAAAAATCCAAGTCACATATGCCTTTAAGCCCCAAGGTTGGATGAACTCACCCCAGCATTCAAAAATATCTGGAGATATTTCAGTCTTAGAAAAGATAAATACTTGTGGAAGACTAAAAATCAGTGATATAGACCAGCTGGTGCAAATGGCAGCATTCCAAAGAGCCCTTTTCTTTTGGAAAGTGACCAAGGGATAGCATACTGCTTGATATCTGTCCACTGTCATAACCACTATCATATAAGTAGAGGCAAACATGCCCAACAACTGCAAATATTTGATAGTTCTGCACAATGCATCTGGCCCTATGAAAACGTCTGTAATATCCCATATTAGTTGGGGAAGGACTTGAAAAAATGCTACCACTAAGTCCGCTATGCTCAGGTGAAGCATGAATACATACATCCTAGACAACTTCTTTCTCCTCCTCCACAATACCAGTATGAGAATAAAATTGCCCACAGATGCTGTCATAAATATTACTCCCAACACAGCAATCTCTAGCTGAGCTAATTGCTCATCTCTTTCTGGTCTTCCAACTGGATCTGACTTATTTGTCAAATTCAGGACAAGCTGAGGAAAAAGATTTTCAGTCTGATATTCATTAGCTTGCACAGGAACTGAAAAATTCTTCATCGTGCACAGAAGCCACTTACAGTAGCTGTTACTCACGACTCAGGTTGATAGCTCTGAAGTATGAGCTAGTAAATATATCAGCACTGGTTCAGGTTTCAGTGTGTCTTGAAACAAAGCTCCATGCATGAATGAACCTGACGCAGCAAACCTGCATCTTGATAGACTTCTCTCTCTTGCTAGAGTGAAAAAAAGGCTTTATATAGTCTTCAAATAGAGTCTTATGTAACTTCATAATCATTTGGTAGGCTGTAGTTATCTTAGCCAATAGGAAAATGACTAATATAATAGGGATAAATATATAAATAAAATGAGAATCACAGAAACTTGAAATAATCAAATCACTTATTTCAGTGTGGCCAAAATCATACTTACATATTTTTACCCATGAGAGCTTTTCCAAATATAAATGTTATGTGAACCAGAACTGTATTCCTCAGTTTAGTAACTAGTAAATATTTACATGTGGATGGAAAAGTTAGGTCCTTGAGTCTGGCTGCAACCACCTTGGATCCCTGAGACAAAGACCATATCCTAAAAGCTGCAAACACAGAGAGAGAGATTTTTTTTCCATTAATTTTTCTGTTTTCAGATCTCAGTCAGCTGATCTAGAAAAGAAGAGACTTAAATGATCCTTTATTGCAAGAAGACTGGATTCTTTTATAAGCAAAAAGAAAAATAACACATGGAATACATTACATCTATTGGGACTGCAAGCCTGCTGATATTTTAATGAGAGGGGATGGGAGGGAGGGCAGGAACATTCTGTGGAAAATCCAGCTGCTGAAGAGATATGAATGACATAGCAGTCTAGAAGACCACTTCTAAACTCCAGCCCTACAACCTGTATAGTTGTTTAAATGTTTTAAAGTAAACTGTCTAATATTTTTCTTTTCTCTACATGGAGTAAATTATTTTGATGATTTGAGGAATCTTGTCTAAGTATAGCTTATGAATTCTGTTTCAGATTGCAAACTCAATTTTGAAAGTCGGGCTTGCTGCCTTTTTTGTTGTCTTTATGCCTCCATCTTGGACTAAATTCTAAGGGGTGGTGGCACATGGTTAACAAAGACTTAATCTACACTAGCAACTTATATTGATATAACTATGTTGCTCAGGGGTATGGATTTTCCACACCCCTAAGTGACACAGTTACACCAACCTAACTCCTGGTGTTGCCAAAGCTGTGTTGATGGGAGGGCTTCTCCCGTCTGCATAGTTACTATCTCTCGGAGAGGTGGAGTACCTATACCAATGGGAGAAGCCCTCCCTGTCAGTGTAGGTAACTTCTACTCAATGCAGCTGCTTCCCTGTGACCCTTTTAAGTGTAGACAAGCCCAAAGGAAAGTTGTTAAATGTTGATTGTCCATTTAAATGGACAAAGAGATGGATACTGCCCAGGGCAAACCAGTTTTTCAAGTCTGGACTCCAGAAGGTTTGGCAACTAAGAGTTTGTCTTCATGTACAACTCTACAGCAGCACAGCTGCACTGGGGTAGCTGTGCCCCTGTGGCATTTTAGTGAAGATGTTATTATGTTGATGAAAGAGCTTCTCCCATTGGCGTAGTTAATCCACCTCTCCGAGAGATGGTAGCTATGTTGATGGGAAAAGTTGTCCCATGAATGTAGTGCTGTCTACACAGTGGGTTAGGTCGGTAACACTATGTCACTCAGGGGTGTAGAATTTTCACACTTCTGAGCAATGTAGATATACCTGTGATGGGATCCCCAGGGTACAACCTGGAACTGTGGGACCACTGTGCCCCCTTAACTCTCCAGCCTGGGCTGCCTTTCACGATGCTCTGCTAGTGACAAGGAGCAAACCTCTTGAACAACGCAAGCTCATTAGTTAGTTCACCACTTCATCAAATGATAGTGCACATGAACCAGCCTTTGTAAGCTGAGCAAATTCCCCGAGCACATTAGTCAAACTCACTGGTAAGGATAAAATATTAAAATAGGTTTACTAACTACAGAAAGATAGATTTTAAGTGATTATAAGTGGTAGGCATAAAGGTCAGAGATAGTTACCTTAAGAAAATACAAAGTAAACACACATTCTAAATCCTAAACTTTTAGGCTAAGCAAGAGTTGAATCAAACAACTTTTCTCACCCTAACAGATGTTACAGGCAGCTCACAGTTCTTAATACACAGGATAAATTTCCTTCTCAGCCTGGGACCAATCGCCTCAGTTTTCAAAGTCTTTGTCTTCCCAGCGTTCTTGTTGCCATCAGTGTAGGTGGAGGAGGAGAAAGGTGATCTCATGGTGCCACTGTCCCTTATTTTATACTCTCAATTCATGTCCCAGGGAAGATACTGGCCCAGGCATGTCCTGGTGGGCCTTGCTGAGTCACAGAGTTGAGCACTCCCCATTATGTGGTGCTTGGGCAACTGAGTCATACAGCTGAGCAATCCTCATTGTGTGGTGCTTGCACAACTGTCTCTTACAGAAGTGTAAATCTCTTGTTTACAATTCTCCGGCTCGTCAATGGCGCATGATGGTTGCTTAATGCCCATTTGGGTGTGGGTCACCACCTTTGTTGTCATTGGAGAGCTAACTGTGGGCATGTCCCAGACACACAACATATTTCAAAAACAACCATGTAGCAAAATCTCATAATTTCATACACCATAACAATATATGTATTTTGACAGGACAAGGAGTTTCAGCAGATCATGACAATTCATATGGTACCTTACAAGGCATGTTTTGTATGAAACATCACAACCATATACAAATGGGGTTTACAGGATGCTATTTTGAGGTACAGCATGTCATAATACCAATATAGGTCTGTAGTGTAGACCGGGCCTAAGCAACAGATCACCTAGTAAGGCTGATCAGTGAGTCACCTGACAAAGGGAGCGGGCAGGAAATTATAAAAGAGAGTCTCTCACTGGCCACTTTGGAGAGAGCAGGAGGAGAGACCAGAGAGACTCCACATTCTTTGAGGAGAAGTCATATTCAGGAGGACAAGAAGTAACCTGGATTACTTAGTGACCTGAACCCAAAGAAAATTCAGAGTGGTGCAGAATCTGAGGTAGAGAAATGCATACAGATATGTTTATTATTCTGTTTAGACCTGTATATTTCTTGTGCTAGCTAATGTAAAGAGTGATTGGTTTTGAGACCCCTTAAAAAGTCTGTGTATTTATTTGCTTTCAACTATAACATGTCTCTAAAGAAGTGAACTGTAAATCTAGAGTGCCTAAAAGATTGGAGCTCTGAGAAAGGTCATGCTCAAGCTCCTAGGGTGTCAGGAGGGTCAGTACTGTACCTGGGGGCCCAGGGCAGATATGCTGTGAGGACCCATTTCTGTGAAGGGGTAACAGAGAGAGCCTGTGTCCAGGCAATGTGCCAGAGAGGTAAATTAGAAAGAATGTTGCAGTTTGTGGAGACCAAGGGAAGCTTAAGAGAATGCAGGCGCAGCTTGTGAGGCCCAAATACAGCAGCCTGGTAAGTCTCCAGCTATGGTGAGCTCTGCCAGGGCTTTGTGTGACAGCAGTACTAAGACTGTGATATTTTCCCCCAGTTTCTCTATTTGGTATGAATTTTGCATATAGTTAGTGACAAAAGGGGATAATAATACATTTATTATCGTCTCATCTCCCCAGTCTTTCTTCTCAGTCCCAAAAGACATACGTGGATTTACAAGAAAATTGAACATGAATAGAAACATACATCTTGCCATGGTGTTAGGGTATGCATGTTCTTGTGACTGAAGTATGGAACTGGGAGTCAGGAGTCCTTGTGGAGAAGTACCTGACAAGGGGACACAGGTGTGACTGAGCCCACCTCGCTTAAAGGCCCTGCTCATTATGTGACAGACAGACTCTGCTACCTTTGCCTGACTCTGAAAGTTGTCCTACTGCTATGAAGTTTTACTTCACCTCAGGTATAATTTATTTTGGTACACTTTATTTGTATTTCCTTATGTGGTGGGTGTCAATTAACCTCTGAAGTCTTTTACCCAATGCACAGGAGGAGTTCAGATGAATCAACTAATGGTGAGACGTTAAAGTACATTAAATTTCCGTGTGGACACGCTCATTCAAAAGTAAAGTAGCTTTACTTTATTGTAGCTTCTTCCTGTTTACTTCTGAATGAAAATGTCCACATGAGGGTTTTATGCACTTTAACTTATGCATATTAACTTCACACCCTTAGTTAATTGGTCTTAACTTTCCTGAGTGACCCCATGTAGACAAATCTTCTCTCTATCCTACTCCAGTGGAATCACATTGGGGTACTCTTCTGAAATTATAGATTCAGTCTTTGAGGATAACTTTGAAAGTCTCTCTCTCTTTGTCACTCCTTAGATGTTTCTTATGAATAAACTTGAGTTTGGTTCTGGACCCTGACTGTATCATATGCACCACTTAATTTATTAAGCACAATTCTGCACAGCTCCTGTCCAGTGTTTTATTCAGTACAGGCCTCCTACCTTCACTCTGTGGGGTTTGCAGTGTTAAAGCAGGTCATAGCTTTTAAAAGTCTTAGTCAGATAGTTTCCTCGGTTTATAAGACGACCTTTTCAAATGTTCCCTGGAGACATATCACACACCAAGGTGTAGGGGGTGCAACACAGTGGTCAGAACAGGAGTCAGGTCTCATGGTCAGAGCCGAGCCAGAAGGTAGAACCAGAGTCATAGTCAGGAGACAAGGCAGTGGTCAGAGCCAGGGAGTTTGGAGGAAGGTAGAGACTAGGGCTGGAGTGGGAACAGGCGAAGGTTGGAGCAAGGACTGGTACAGGAAGAAGGTCTGGCACAGCTGGGGGAGTAGAATGCATTGAGAAGCCACTGTGCTACTATTGCTACAAAGCTTAAATGATGGTCTGCTGGCTCTTCTGTCCAGTCACTTAGTGAGAGCTTATTGGGCCCAGCAGAGCTCACTGGATTGCCAGGCCACCGCACCTGGAGCCATCGCCTCCTAAAGGCCATCGGCCCTGGCTTTTCAGGGTATCTTCAGTGAAATTCCTGCAGGAAGCTGGGAGTGAACATTTTCTTCTAGTTCCCAGAATCACTCCTCTGGACCATACATCTTCCTGGCTATCAGATACTGCAGCTTCCCCCAACCTGTTGAGAATCAAGGACCTGATGGACTTCATGTTCCTCCTGCCTTTGGACTTTTACTTAGGGTGGAGGAGAGTCAACCCCATCAGGGAAGGGGTTGTCAATGAACAGCTTGAGGAGGGAAACATACAAGATGGGATAACTCTTAGAGATTCTGGGAGTTGAACCTTGAAGGACACTGG